GGGTTTTGTCTGTGTTTTCCTTGGTCTGTCTCTCAGTCCTCTGAAGATACCTAAATATAATTCTTTTGAATTCCTTATCAGAGAGTTCCAATGCTGCTTCTCCAGGGATGTGTTCTGGGTCTGTATCCTGCTCCCTTGTTTCTACCACTTTATCTTGCTTCTTTGGATGGACTGTGATGGTCTGTTGTCTTCTTGGCATTGTTGTATTTAGATCTCTGTTAACTGTTTGTGAAAAGCAGCCAAGGGTGAGTCAGGCTCTTCTTGGTCATTGTTTATCATTGGCCCGTTGGTGGAGAAGGAAGTGGTGGCTCTCACTCAGTAAGTGAAGCTGCAGGAGGTATGGGTATAGTTGTGTCATATGGGGACTGCTGCTGTCTTCCACTGAGTCAGACAAAAATAACAACTGAATAACCATCAAAAAAGTAAAAGCACATGGACAAAATACACACCACATAATCACAGAGGAACAGTAACCAAAAAAAGAAAAAAGGGAAAAAGAAGAACAAAACAAAAAACAAAAAACAAAAAACAAAACCCTGCAATATCTGGGGAGAGGGCAACAAGAGAAAAAAGATAAAGAAGGAGAATAATAAAGAAAAAAAATAGGAAAAACACAAAAAGAAAAACAAGGAATGGGGTTAATCACAAAAAAGAAAAAATAATTCCAACCAAGAACAGGGAAAAGAAAGCAAGCTGAAAACTAGAACCTGGGAGGGGAAGCATAAAGCATAATAGTAAAAAGGACAAAAGTTATAATAGTAATAGTAGTTTTAAACGTACAAAAACAAACTAAAAAACAGAAAACGGGGAAAAAAACAATTGGGGCAGGGCACCCAGGCTCCGTCCAAGCACATAGACTGGGATGGAATTCCTGCTGGCCCAGAAAGTGGGTGGGAGTAAGGGATGGCTGCACCTCCATTCACCAAGAGGATGTGGGGTATAAGATTAATAAGGAGAATGTCACACCTTTCCAGTTGTCCCGGTCCAGAATGTCCTTGGGGTTCCTGGCAAGTGGACCTTGTTCTTAAGTCCCTGGAATCTGGGAGAATGCTGTCGCTTTAAATATCCAAAATGGTCAAGCCACTTGCAAACATTCAAAATGGATGTGCCCCTGGACAGGCAAAAGTCCACCGCTTAGCCTACCTTCCTCTTCTCTGCTTCCCCTTTTATTCACCAGCCACCAGAGCAGTCCTCCGTGCAGTCCCTGGCTAGCAGGGCCGTTTTTTAGGTTAATTCTTAGGTCCTACCACCACTTGGTAATATCCAAGCTGTTTGTGCTATCAGGATCGCTGTCAGACTGCAGCTCCGTATGTCTCTTTTTTTGGTGTTTTCATGCAAATTCTGCTGCTGGTTGGAGTTTAGCCCACTTCTATATCCTTCAAGGCTCAGGGTTCCAGGATTATCTTCTGTATCTGTGTTAACTGGTTCCCCTTTTCTTTGTTGAAGAGGGTCTGTGCAGTCTTTCTGCCATCTTACTGGAACTCAAGGTAGCTCAGTCTTATAAAATAATTTCATGTCTAGTGATAGGAGTTACAAGGTACAACCCTTATGTCACTGTGGTGTACTAAATTACCTGGTATGTCTTTTGTAGCCATAAGTCTTTGTAAACTCCATGGTGGAATTTGCTGTGAGCAACTGAGGAGCTCCTGATTGTAAAAGTTATCCATCTGGGGTATTTCTGTTGGGTGTGGCACAAAGCAATGTTCTGGAGGTTTGCTCTTTCTCTCAGGTGTTTTGAATTCTGATATTAGGATTGGCTACGTTGGCCACTCTGCCAGGCTCAAAAGGAGGCTTCCTAGAGGCTGAAGTCTTTCTCTGACTGCTGGCTAAGGAAGACGTGCTGCTGAAAGAGACACACGCTCCTGGGAAAGAGACACAAGAGACACTCATTGCTGAGTGAGACACCGAGGGACACACACTGCTGGAAGAGAGACTGTGAGAGACTGTTGGCTGAGAGATGGTGGCTGGGAGAGAGACTGAGCATTTTTCCTGAACTTGAATTGTAGCCTGGTGCTTCCCTAATAAACCCCGTAATCTATGAGTTGTGTGTGGCCACTGCAGTGAATTACTGAACCCAGGAGAAAGGTAGTGGGTGCTCTGGGAGGAACCGTTGGTGAAAGGTGAGGCAACATGTCTGGCCTTGCAGAAATAGGCCTTGGGTTACTGATGGTGATTCTGTTTTCCTCTTGTACAGTTAGAAGAGGTCAGAAGATGTGGCCTCCTTGCCCTTTTGGTAGTCATCTACCATACTTTATCTATCCAATAGAAGTCAGGTACAAATTTTCTTCTCCCTCTTTGGAATTTGATCTTATCAGCCTATTTTATTGTGCAGGCCACAAGCTATCTAGATTTGCTCTAGCCTCTTCAGGAGCTCATTGTTTCAGGTAGTCAAGTGATTCTCTTTCCTAACTCTATATACAACACAGAAAAATGTTATCATCTCTTTCCATTTGGACAGAGTTTGAAAACAATGATAGTAGTAATAAATAAAATACCCATATAGTAATTACTATGTGTCAGGAACTGTTGTTCTAAGAGCTATGCAACTCACAGACACACACACACACACACACACACACACAATTTAAATCTCACATCAAACATCGAAGGATGATAATAGGAACTATTATCTTCATTTTACAGATGGGGATTTAAAATAGATTACGTAATTTGTTAAATGACACAGTTGAGGCTGAGGAATTTAATATAAATATCTTTAGTACAAATTCATAAGTATTTCAAAGAATGTGGTTCAATTCCTCAATTCAGCTAGTATTCACCATGTGGCCTGATGCCAGTTTGATCTCTAAACCACTAAGCTCTACTGAAAATAGTTTTTGCCACTACCTTTATTCATTTCTCATGGATAGAAATAAAACACCTGGAAAATAGCTAAGTCCTACATGTTTTAAGCCCTTTCTTCATTCTTTATACCTATTTCATCAGTCCCAACTCAGTGTTTAAAGATATCCTACATCATTCAGAATGTTATACTTACTTTTGCATTTCAATACTTTTGTCTCTTTCTTCTTTAAGTTTCAATTCTTTGTTTTCAAATTTTTTTTTCATTTCTTTTACTTGTATTTCAAGATGACTTAGAAGCTCTCCTTTATCATGCCATTTCTGATTAAGGGTACTAATATGAGAAGAAGTAATTTAAAAAATAAAATTGATTATAAGAAATGATTGAGTTACATTTTATTTCTGATTAGGAAACTGTATAATACCTGTAAGCATTTCTAATTTCTTCAAGTTCTTCTTCCTTTACTTTCAACTGTTGTTTTAGTTTTCCTTTTCTTTCATTATGCCTTTCTAATTTCTCAATTACAACATCCAGTTGTGAAGATTTTTCCTCAAGTTGTTCTTGAGTACATTTTTGTATTTCAGAGATCTTCTCTTGTAAAGTTTTGATGTCTTCATCTCTTTCCTGTAAACACTTCAAGGAAAAATAAAGTCAGTACTTTTTTTCCAATTATCTCTAAATGTCTTGCTTTCTAGTTTATTAGATATTGTTTAAAATTATGAAAACTAGAAATTAGGGATAATTGTGCCTAAGGCACTTGACTGCTAACCAGAAGGCTGGTGGTTCAAGCCCACCAACCACTCCTCGGAAGGAAGGTTGGGCAATCTACTTCCGTAGTGATACCTCCTCGGAAACCCAAGGTGGGGTCGCTATGAGTCAGGTCTAACTCAATGGCAAATAACAACAGAAATTAAAAAATAAGCTAAATGCTTATTTTTTAGAGATTTACAGAATATTTTTAATCACAATCAATAAGAAGCAACGCCACGATGACGTATTAAAAGTACAATGAGGCATGACGAAGTTCGTGTCCTATGTATTATGTTTTATTTCAATAAAGTCAGTAATTATAAATCACATAGGGGGAAGAAGAAGGAGGGAAAATAAAGCAACATGAGAATCTCAAGAGGTGTATGTATAGTTTGGAAAGCATTCAGTATTCTAATTCTGCATTTGATGATATCTATGTTTTCATATTAGAAACAGAAAGAAAACTTTAGGCAGTTGACTGCTATATACCAAAGACTGATGCCCACCATGCATGTATGGTACAAATTACACCACTATTTTTAATGTGCTAAACAGATTTTTTTTTTTTTAACTTTAAGGTGAGTAAACATTTTAAATTTAAAATAAAAGTTTAATTTCATCACTATTAAAATGTATTAAGCTTTACATTCCTGAAAACTTTTTATTATATCTTCTGTTCTTCAAGTCAGAGTTTATCCTGTATTAGTATAATAGAAACCAGAGGAAAATCAAAGAAAGATCAAAACTGTCTTAGGCACTATTAAATGTATGCAAGTACTAGAACTCATATAGCTTACTTATTTCAGGGAACATTTGTTTGCCTTATGGGGGCACGCCTAGAAGTCTAGAACAGCCCTGCTACTTAACAACTACTAAAAATATCAGCCATAACTCTGCAAGTGAGACTAGATGAAACTTGCAGTTCTTATTTTTACCCTACTCCTCTCCTCAGTATCTATTTATTTGCTTTTGGGATGTGGGAAAAATGGAAGCAAATAAATACTGAGCAAAGCTAATTAAGTATGAATTCATAAGTATTTCAAAGAACATCGTTCTACTCCTCAGTGTAGTATATGTCTAAAAATTCTAAACAAAGATAGCAGGTGACTGTCTTCCAGTCTTGGCCAACATGTGCATAAAATCCATGACTTATTTCTTAAATTAATTTATTAATGTGATTTGGGTGAAAGTTTACAGAGCAAATTCACTTTCCACACAGAAGTTCACACACACGTTATCTCATGACACTGAATACAATTTACCCCAATGCAACAGCTCTCCTCCCACTTGCTCCTGATAGTTACCTCTTCCCTGTGTCCATCCCTCCATGCACTCCTGCCCCCTAAACTGTCTCCCTGTGCATAAACAGCCCTTCTTTCTCCCATGATTGTTCTCTCCAAGGAGTATATCTACCTCAGGTACATGTTCAAATCATGCCTGTCTTTTGTTTGGCTGGAAGCCACAGGTGTGGGTTCAATTCCAGACCTGAAGGGCAGCTACGGGCCATAGTCTCAGTGGTTCCACCAGGCTCTATCTATCAGACCAGCAAACCTGGTCACCCCTTCCCTTCTTTTTCCAAATGATTTTGAGTTTTGTTCCACATTGTTCTCCGTCTCTATCCAGGATAGAGATTCCCCCTCTGAGTGGTTTACAGTGGTAGCTGGGCACCATCTAGTTCTTTTGGTCTCATAGTCATATAGGCTGAGGATCACATGGTGTACCAGTTCCAAGGACTAATTGTTTCCATTAATCTTTGGTTTTCTTCATTCTTCTTTGCTCTGGATGAGGAGACTCATCGTTGCATCTAGATGGCTGCTTGTAAGCTTTTAAGATCCCAGTCGCTAATCGCCAAAGTAGGTGGAACAATGTTTTGTGTAATATGTTATGCCAATTGAGCTTGATGTCCCGTGACTATGGTCCCCAGCCCACAGGTTCAACTACTCGGTCCCTCTGGGTAGCTGGCTGTGACCAAGAAGTGTCTACAACCTTGTCCCTTGTCAGCTCTACTATATACCTGGGAATTCTTACAAAACATACAAATACACTTGTGGAACTATTGTCTGCCAACCCTATACATGGTCTTGGGTACACTTCCTGCTACATAGACATACTTAATATTCCAGCCTGTCCAGCCAACTATCCACCCGTATACCCATGTTTGCCTTCACTGACAATGTAGTACTGTATGTGCAAAAGGGTTCATCTTTGTTGTCTGTACCTTCCATGTACCTCTCTATGTCTTCCTCTTCCTCAGTGCCACTGGTGATTGCTTACATTTAGTACATTGTCCTTCTCTTCACTCAAATCAATACTTATCTCTACCTACCTAACAGTGTTCCTTCCCTTCCCATCCCACCACTGGTAACCCACAAAGAAAATTTCCTTCCATATATAAACCATTCCTTGACTTTTACAATAACGGACTAATACAATATTTGTCCTTCTCTGATTGACTTATTTCACTCAGCATAATGTTCTACAAGTTCATCCACATTATGTGATGTTCTGCAGATTCTACATTCTTTAGGGTTGCTAGTATTCCACTGTGTGCATGTACCATAGTTTGTTTATCCATTCCTCAGCTTATGGACACCTAGGTTGATTCCAACTTTTTGCTATTGTAAATAGTGCTGCGATGATCACGGGTGTGCATATGTCTAGCTCTCACTTGTTTAGGATATATACCTAGTAATGGAATGGCTGGATCTAATGTTATTTCTATTTCCAACTTTTTAAGGAATTGCCATACTGCTTTCCACAGTGTTTGTATCATTTTACAGTCCCACTAGCAGTGTATGAGAGTCCCAATCTCTCCACATCCTCGCAAGCATTTGTTATTTTCTGTCTCGTTAAACTTTGCTACTAGTGCTGGGGCAAGATGGTATCTCACTGTTGTTTTGATTTGCATCTCTCTAATGGCTAATGAGGAGCTCTGGTAGCAAAGTGGCTAAAAGCACTTGACTGCTAACCAGAAGGCTGGCGGTTCAAACCCACCAGCCACTCCTCGGAAGGAAGGTTGGGCAATCCTACTTCCGTAGTGAT